TATACTATAGGTCCCTTCCAATGTAGCCAGTGCTAACTACAGGGTTTTAATCTGTTGCACCTGTCACTTCCAAAGCAGTTCCCTCTGTTTATTTTGGCTTCCTCTGCTTGCAAGTCTCTTCAGTATCTTACTTCTGCCCTGACACAAGGGGGTGAAGATGGTCATTTAGTTAGGGGCACTCATTCAATTGTGCTGCAGGGAGGGAGGAACATTGGAAACAAATGTCACTGGCGTGTGTGGGGAGTGCTCGCAGTGTCTGGGCCACACTGGGTTTGCCCCTGCTCACAGCATGTGTGCTTTCCCAGTCTACACTGCTCAGGCTCCAGATTGCTCACAGGGCAACTGTCTATGGTGGGCCCTGGGTTGCATGCACTTCCCAGGGCTAAGCCGCTCAGGTTCGGGTTCTCGGGTACTCCGCAAAGACACAGGCTCGGTCGGGCCTGCGTTTTCTGCCCTTCCCAGGTCCGAGCAGCTCAGGGACCAGGTGCTTGGCGAGCGCACACTCCCCAGGTGGGCGGTGCGTCTTATCACCTTCCCCGTCCCAGCCACTCGGTTTCCTGGGTGCGCAGTGGGAGCACTGTCTCAGGTGTGCCGTGTGTCTCCTCTGGGGGGCTGATCTCTGGCTGCGAAACTCCTGGCGGATGTCAACTGTCCAGGATCCCAGGAAGACTTGGTTAGCAACTGGGAGCCTGCTCGCAGTTTGGTAGAGGATACCGTCTCTGGGGCCGAGTTTGCCCCTTGCCTTCCAGCTCTGGCTGTCGCCCACCTGCCTCTGTGCCTCCAGCGAGGGATGGGCCAGTTCGTGGTTGGCTAGCTCTCCTCTGGTATTTGCTCAGTCCTTTGTTCTGTGAGCGGCCTGGCAGTGGCTTAGGTTAGAGCTTTTCACTGCTAAGTTCTCTCTTTTTTTTCTCTCTCTCTGGCTATCCCATGGTTTGGGTTGCTATCTCACGTTAGCTCCCTCAGATTGCCCTCAGGGTATTCAGGTCTGGTGCTTACCCTAAGCAATGCAGCCCATGCTTCCCTGTTCAGCCCCCGCTTGCTGGTGGTGGACACCAGTGTTTGGGCTACTTCTCCACTGGGAGTTGCAGTTAGGCGTGTAATCTCTGGGTTTTATTTTCTCCTCCTGGTTATGTCGCCCTCTGAGATTCCAAAACTCCCCACAGACCCGCCGGTAAGAGGGTTTCCTGGTGTTTGGAAACTTCTCTTTTAAGACTCCCTTCCTGGGTTGGGTCTCCGTTCCTAACTCTTTGTCCCTCTTTTTATATTTTGTCCTACCTCCTTTGGAAGAAAATGGGCTGCCTTTCTGGGTGCCTGGTGTCCTCTGCCAGTGTTCAAAAGTTGTTTTGTGGCATTTGCTCAGTGTTCAAATGATCTTTCATTGAATTTGTGGGGGAGAAAGTGGTCTCCCCGTCCTATTCCCCCACCATCTTAGGACCACCCCCGATCTTAGTTTTCTGAATGTTGAGTTTTAAGCCAACTTTTTCACTCTCCTCTTTCACTTTCATCAAGAGGCTCTTTAGTTCTTCTTTGCTTTCTGCCCTAAGTGTGGTGTTGTAGATAAACTTAATTATCTGCAGCCAACCCAGCATCCACCCCCTCACCCCGCCCCATGGCCCTTCTTAAGGTCTTATCGTCATTGCAAAGATGCCAGTCAGTTTATCTGTCAGGATCCCCTTCCCCTGTGGTTTCTTAGTAGAAGACAGGCACTCACCTGAGACTTGTAAACGAGAAGCCATTAATCTCTGGACGCAGTCACAGCCAAATGTGTGGGAAAATATCACAGCAACATTCCTGAGAGTTGCAGGTGCTTTAAAAGATTCAAAACTGCTGGCTTTCTTGACCTTCAGTGGGAGCTTTCTCTGACCTGCTTCCCCACTTCTTCCAATGTTTACATTAAGCCCCTAATTCCTATCTCAAGTCCTTCGCATCTAAAATACACTGAGTGGCTTCCGTAATCCTAATACAATGCAGCTCTCAGTTGATCCTAGGATTTACTCAACCTTTTGCTGTAAATTGGCCCTATTGAAACTCAGATAGGTAACAGCTCTACCCCAAAGCATTTAGGGCCAGTGCTAGGGGAGGGGATACTACGAAAACTTTTCTCCCCTCAGTGCCAGAAATGTGTTTGGTTATGAAGCACACAGAGGTAGGCCTGTGTGGGCCTATCTGGGCCTTTCTTTTCAACTGCAGTTTTCAGATTTGTGAGACACTCTACTTCTACCTTTAAGGGAGCATTTAGATGTAGGAAGGGCAGAGAAAGACTCACAAGTTGCCAAGAAGCAACCATTCAGATTAATAAAACCTGACAGTGGGACCCAGATATTGTGGATGACTAGTCTCCATCTGGTGGACACCACTGGTTTTCCTCACTAGGATGCAAACTCCATAGGGTGCAAGGGTTTTGGTCACCAGCATACCCCACCCAACCAGAGTGCTCAGTCAACACTTGTCAAATGGATAAATGGCCCCACAGAACTGGGACGTGACATGCTTGTTGGAGTCTGAGATGCCTCACAAGATCCAATAGATGTTACAGGTGTCTCATCCATGTTCATGGTTATGTCCCTGGCTCTAAGATGCTGTACTGTTATCCAATTTAGAAGAAAGAACAATTTTTTAACAAGCAAAAGCTCTGATCTGTGTCTCCTTACAACTTTCTGCTCTTTCTTCATAATAGGGAAGGTTTGTTGTAGATTTAGTTATCACAGGGGGAACTTTCAAAAATGGCATTACTATGTTTTCTTTAGCCTGCTGCTGCTGCTAAGTCACTTCAGTCGTGTCTGACTGTGTGTGACCCCATAGACGGCAGCCCACCAGGCTCCGCTGTCCCTGGGATAATCCAGGCAAGAACACTGGAGTGCGTTGCTACTTCCTTCTCCAATGCATAAAAGCAAAAGTGAAGTCACTCAGCTGTGTCTGCCTCTTCGCGACCACATGGACTGCAGCCTACCAGGCTCTTCCGTCCATGGGATTTTCCAGGCAAGAGTACTGGAGTGGATTGCCATTGCCTTCTCCAATTTAGCCAATTAAGGAAACCTTAAACAATCCACTATTCTTATTATGTTGTCATGTAGACAACGCAAACTGTAGATGTAAACAATGTAAAAAATGGAAAGGATGATCTCAGAATTTTTAAATGGAATAAATTTGACATTAGGGATAAATTGATCACATTTTTTTTTTTTCAATTTCACTTTAGATTTGGTTTGGTACTTGAGAACCCCTGATCACATTCAACTCTCTCATCCAAAATGTAAGTGTGGGCACCTTTTGTTAGGTGCTGAGGATCGAAGAGTCAGAAGATAGGTTCCCTTCTTGCCTTGGGAAGCTAACGACAGTTTTTTGATGTCAAAAATACTGGCCACTGTTGAGAACACAAGACATCTAAGCCGGTTCGACGGGGAAGAGGAAATTTCCAAGTAGAAATGCTTTTTACACTATGACCTCAGAGTCAGCAGGAGTTACCCAGAGAAAACCTGGGGGAGGGAACACATTCCAGACTGAAGACAAATGACCTTGCCCAAGTCATGCAAGTGCAGGGGCAGAACAAGAAAGGACACATCAGGGCCCTCTACTAGCAGCTATGCCTTTTTGCTGAAGATCCTCAATGTAGATTTATTTTCTTCCCTGCACCCCATCTCTAAATTGATTAAATGAAGTCTTGACAGCTTAGCATTTATGGAAAACTGACAACTTGAAATCTCACCTCCACTTGAGCTAAATTAAGTTTCCAATAATTACCATCTCTGTATTTTATCAGGGGCTCAGTTCTTTGCTTAAAAAAAAAAAAAGAGAACTTTATCAAAAATCATTGCTATTCCTTGGGTTCAGGCTGGAGTGAGTTGGGATGGGAGTCAGGATGGTCAGAAAACAAACCACACGTATTGCTGCTTCTGGAAGCTTTGTTCTTTAATGAGCCATGGAGTGACCTGTCCATCAAACTGCTCTTGTGAAGCCATACAGTGCGTATTTTGAGTGGCACAAACTGCACTTTATACAACTGATGGCCCCAGCCCCACCCCCTGCCAAAAAAAAAAAAAAAAGGAAATTACAAAGTGCCTGTTGATTGCATCAGGAATGTAATCAGTTCTGTGGGTGAGACAAATCATTCTTTGTATAGAATTATTCTATTAAACAGTAAAATGATATTATATTTCACAGGCTATGTCCTTTTACAATAGATAGTCTTTTATAAATTTACACTCAGTATATTTATATAAATTACTTTAAATTCATTAATATAATACTTATCTGTAGTCCACACCTTTCCCTTAGTAAATACAATTACTTGGTTCCAAAGGTGCAACTTTTACATGACCTAAGAGGGATGATAAATAGGCATTCAGTATGGATTGAAAGCAAGGTGATGGACCCCTTAGTGGGGCTTTTTTCACAACAGTTTCAACTAAGAGACCAACAAGACCTAATAGATCCACCTTCGTAGTCACTATTTTGCCCTTTATCACCAGATAAGATGTGGGAGCAGTTCCAGAGAAAAGTGGGTAAACAGTAATTTAGGGGCATAGAAAGATAGCAAAGTCAAAGTGTTAGTCAGTTGTGTCTGACTCTTTGCGACCTCATGGACTGTAGCCTCTGTCCATAGAATTCTCCAGGCAAGAATATTGGAGTGAGTTGCCATTCCCTTCTCCAGGGCATCTTCCCAACCCAGGGATTGAATCCAGGTTTCCCACATTGCAGGCAGACTGTTTACCACGTGATCCATCAGGGAAGCCCTGAGAAAGACTCCCACAACCACCAAGGAACTTTACTACCAAGGTTAACATGGTACTGGGGGATAGTGCCAACTGTCACAGAATTATGGGGAGCTGTCCCACAATTATGGGTCGACAAACATATCTGTCAGGACCGAATGATGCTGTGTTGGTCAACACAGAATGACCAAGAGGGGGGAAATGAGAGAGAGGAGAATAAGGAAAGCCAGCTGGAGTGTTTCCTTCTTAAAATTCTCTGAGCTTTGAACACATCCTGAGAATATTTTCTTCTCTCTTGTTCACCAAAGTGCTTGTGAAAGGTACACATTCCTCAGTTAGAGTTTAAAAAAGAAAAATGTGGCCCACAGGCACTGAAGTGGGCCTGCAGAACCTTGCTGGAGCTCCTATTTTCTGCATGCTTCTGGGATCCTCCATCTTTGACAGTGAAAACAACCCTACTGTGATGGAAGACAGAAGTCTCCACTAACTCCCATGACAAGGGAGGGCTCTTATATCGCATCCTCTGAATTCAGGTCCCTCTGCCTCCACAAGGCTCATACTGGGCTGTTATCTTCTTTGTGTTCGCAGAAACCCAGAGTGGCACAATATTTAAAATGGCAGGAAGTACACAGTGCATTACAAATGAAGCAAGTCACCTTCCTGAATTCTTTCTGTATTTACTTCACTTTGTGTATACACACTTTGACCCTACAATTATACTTTTCTGCTTCCATTACATTTTCCATGATAAGGGATATGTTGGCTTTAATGGGGAGAATTAAAACTCCAGGCTGTATCTGGGGCTGAGAAGGTGTGGTAAGAAGAGAATGCTCTGCATTTTAGAGTATGGGCTCCAAATCAGGGGCTGCCTCTGTGCTGCCACACATGGGATTCCTTTGAGGCATTTGAGATCAAAGAAAATGAGCAAAGGAGAAGCAAATAGAAAACACACATTTGACACATACAGATGTTAAATATCTTAATTATAAGTGATTGTAATGCAGCATCAGCTTGTGGTAATGTAACATGAACCACAGAGATGACTGGTTAAGATCAGAGGAGAGGAGAGACAGCACTTGGTTCCGACAGCTGTTAAGTGTTATGGCTTCATCTTTTTCAGGCCAACAATGCCCATTATTCTGGAGAACAGCAGCATGCTTTCCTTTAAAGGGAGGGTCCCGCCTTTGCTCTCCATTCTTAGCATTCCATGCATCTCCCTTTCCCCACCCCTCCATTCTGACAGCTTGTTAAATGACTAGAAATCCACAAATCTAGCAACTGAAAAACAAATATTTATTTAATGTTATCCAAATTCAGGTTTTAGGTCCCTGAGAAAAAATTATAAAGTCTCTTAACATCCATCACCTGGTTCCTATAAAGTGACCTATATGAGTAGTTTTTTTATTTATTTTTTTTTAACTGCAAAAACTTATTTTGCAAAATAGCAACAAAACAAAAACTCCACAAAGATTTAGAAGGGAGACCGTATGCCAAGATGTGTTTCCCAGGCCATTCCTCTAAGCCAAAGAAAACTATTCAACAGGGGTAATCGCTTTTTTTTGGTAATGTCCTGGAACAAGTGGAAAGGAGTACTCAACACTGGCTGAAGACCACCTTCCCAAGGATAATGGGAGAGACTGTGCCTGGCACAGGGACTGGGGTACCCATGCAGACACAACCATGCTGAGGGGCTGGGTTCTGCTCTAGGAGATTCTCTGGAATTCAGATTTTTAAAGACTTTATTTACCTTTATTACTCCTCAAGGCAGCATGAACAAGGTGGCAGATGTTTGCAGGTTATAAAATCGAACACGTTTAGTTACTAACCATCATCATTCTGGAAACTGACAAAGACTCCTTTTCCCGAGGTCATTTCTGAACCCCACCAGGGAGAGGAAAGCCGCCTGCTTCCACGAGCTGCCACTCGGGGTGATATTTGCGTCCGGCCTCTGGGGCTCGACAGCAGCCACAGAGGCAGTGGCGTGAGGGTCACTGTGTGTAACAGGAGAGACTCTGCCTTATTAATGAAAGTCCTCAGGTTTCTGTAACTTCATCTCAAAGAAGTATGAAAAGGAAGAATAACCAAAATTCAGGTTACAGATGGTAAAGGCTCTTTTTTAGAACAGTGCATGTGGTAGTTAGACAAGATGCATTTAGTAACTTTAAAAAAGAAACATTTTCACATATTTATCTCAAGAAAGGGCATCATGTTTCATTTCCCATATATTATAAATAGCAAAAACAGACTTCTAATCCCACAAATACTAAGAAGCTTAAAATGCTTTTATAACTCAGGTACATGGAGACACCCAGTGGTGAGGAAAATGGTTTGACTTTTCCCTCAACCCAGGGATATCTGGCTCTCACCACCACATCCAATGGCCCTTAATCTGTGGGAAGAAATTCTATGGGGAGGAAGGAAGCATAAAGTTAAAAAGAAATATGCACACTATACATATATATATTTACAGTAAACTTCAGTAACCAGAATATTAACAAAAATAGCTTCAAGTAGTCCTTGATTTTTTAAAATCTATTTAATACTGATGGTCTGAGGAAAAAAGATAAAAGCTAGATGGGTCATATTAAAAACTTTTCTTTTTTGGCAGCTTTCTGTAACATTTATTCATGCAGTGCTATGTGTGAATGCTCAGGGAGAAGTGATTAAGTGGTCACATCATTTGTGTGAGCTCGTGGTGGAAATCCACCAGCAGATAAACAGGTTCATATATGGTCTTCAGTTTAATCTATACAAAGAGAAAGGCCTATATAAATTAGAATGAAACCCTCCTGTTTAGGGATCACCATGTCTCTGGGACATTTAAAAAATATTAGAGGAACCTGATTCTAGGATAAGGGGATATAAGAACAGTATGGCTATTGAAACTTCGGTCCATGCAATCCATTTGGCAGGAACTAACCAGGGGTTAAACCAGCATTGATTATTATGACATCAAACATTGTTGAAAAACAAAACAGGTCTTCTCTTCTTCATTGGATAACCACAGAGGTCTCAAACATGCTCTGATGGCTTGATGGAGACAACTGCTTTTTTTTAACTTTCCCCAGAATATAACATGGAGTGTTTCTCAAAAATCTTAAAATAGAGGGCTTAGGCTTTTTGCTTACAAATCCTTGGAAGAAAATTATATTCTATACCAGCTCCTAACTATCCCAAAATAAACCCAAAGGATTTTGCTTTCATGGTTAAGAAAGGTTTATATGTTTTCTTCAAATGTTAGAAATCAGTGGGTCCCTCTAGCCCACAATGTCCCCCCAGTTCCACACTCACCTCTGGGAAGGGAAAAAGGGAGGGAGGAGAGGCAACACAAAGACCTCCTCAGCTGACCCAAACCCCAAGGCCCCGGGCGCTCTGTTCAGCGAAACCTCTAGTCGGATAGAGCAGCCAAGGCACAGCTGGCGCCATCCCTGGCAGGCTTCAAAGACGACTTTCCGCTTCGGCAGGAGGCCCACCCGGGACGCGGCACACAAGGTCCTGGCTGTATGCTCGGGCAAGAGGCAGGACCACACTCAGGATGGATACTGTGGACCAGGTGATGAAGCCCCAAGATGAGATGTGTTCACCACGCTGTAGCCAGAAGGGACACACATCTGCCAGTTCAGACCATAAACTCATTATTCCCAAAGAGAGCGAGCTGTTGGGCCGAGCTGCAGTCTGGGTCCACAGTTTTCCTGCGGCCAGACACAACGATCCCCTCTGGGGTCTCTTTGGTTTTCTGAGGTGAGTTTTTCACATTCTTTAATTTTTGTTTTCCCTTTTCAGGGTTGAAGGTTCCTCTGCTGATGAACTGAGGCTTGTCTTCTAGGGATTTGGTCTGGCCGGATGGCCCTTCCATCCCGAGGGCCTCACCAGCTGAGGAAGCTCGGTAGAAAGGAGATTTGGAATAAATCTGAAATCGTCTTCTGGTCCCATGAGAAGATGCAGTGCCAGATGAACATAAAGAAGAGACTGAAGAGTCCACTGAATCCAGTGAGTCTTGCTGCTTTTTGAGCTGCTTCCGCAACTTGCTTGAAGGTTCAGACTTGCCAGCTGCCTTCGTAGAGATAAGGGCTAAGCTTCTCTCTAATGCAAGAAAGAGACCAAAGTTGTAAATGACAGTTCTCTCTGAAGAGAATCATTGTGTGATGAAGAGGTGTCACTGCTCACATGTGAAAGTGGGTGGGCTAAGATCTGGAAGGTCCAGGGTGACCTGCTTTGGGCACAGTCACAATTCAAGAAGAGTTCATCACCCATCTCTACACCATCCATATTATTTCAGAATCAACCCTGAGGAAGCTGGAGTGGGACCATGCCATTAGAAGAGGCCTACAAACATCCCCATCATTTAAAACACTGCCAGAATATGTAGTAAATACCACATCTCGCAGAGACACGGCAGGCAGTTAAAGACTTCCCTGGGTCCGGTCCCATCTCATAGCAGGGCACGGCTCCCACTACCTGCCTTTAGAAAATGGGTCATGAGTCAGTAAGATAACATGAGCTATGACTGCTGGCTTTCCTCTGTGGTAAATACAAGGAAACATTACATTACAAAAGAAATATGTTACACTGAAGGCTTGGTCTGATGAACAATTTATATAGAAGCTTTAGGAGGACTGGTATATTTCAGCTCCTTAGGACTTTGTCATCTTTTCATGTAAGGTCAAGGGCCTTCTTGAAAGAGACTGTCTTTGCTTGGGAATCCTTATTCCTCCTCTGCAAAACAAATCTGGAGTCTTTGGTCTAACATGTTCATTTACCTGATTTCTCAGAGATGGCACCTTCAGACTCAATATTCAAATTTTCTGAGCTATCAGCAGTCCCTATGGAGGCCTCAGACTCAAGGGTTTCATCATCAGAGGCACGTGGTTCCAGGACAAGCATCTCAAATGTTAGCTCTTCCCTGTAAGATACAATCAAGAAATCATTATCGTTTGATAAGAAATGGAAGGAAGCCAACAGGAAAGCAGACCTTCTGTGAATGTCAGGAATTTAGGTAGCAAAAACAGTCACATTTCTTACTGTTCCCTTGCAGGGTGGTGATAAGGACCTGTACACCTGGTGTGAAGAGCCAACTCATTGGAAAAGACCCTGATGCTAGGAAAGATTGAAGGCAGAAGGAGAAGGGGATGACAGAGGATGGGATGGCTGGATGGCATCACCGACTCAATGGACGTATGTTTGAGCAAACCAAGGGAGATAGTGAAGGATAGGGAAGCCAGGCTTGCTGCAGTCCATGGGGTCACAAAGAGCTGAACATGACTTAGCGAATGAACAACAAGTCACAGTGAAGGTTAAAGGCAGCAAAGGCTGGGACCTATAATGGAGCTAAGGGTGAGGCAGAGGAAGATGCTAAAGCTGTAAGATCCTTTGATAAAATGAACTCTGGGCTGCTAATCAGGAGATTGGGATTCTAAACTCACTCTGAACTCAATCATAATACATCAGGAAAGTACTTTCCTCTTTCTGGACCTTAACTTTCTCATCCACAAAAACAAAGAGACTAAACTAGATGGTCTCTAGGATTCCTTCCAGCTCTTAAAACTATTTTCTACAAAATTTTATTAGCTGCTACACACTCTATCCTCTACCTTCTTTGGCCAAGGAGAGACCTCTAGATCTCCTAAATGAAATAAAACAGATTGACCTCTTCTGTCCTTTTAAACCTTTGCCATCTCCACTTAAGACTACTATTCTCTACTCCTTATCAATCACTCACCTCCTCTCAGCCATGCCTCTTCATTCCTTGAAGTCTTTGGTACCTGGCTCCTAATCTTACTTTCTCACTACTGCCTGACACCACTCTGATTCATTTTAATCAATATCTTGGTTAAAAGCTCATGTTAATACCCTAACACCAAAGTTCCTTTAACATCTGCAATTCCTAATAACCTTTTCTCCACTCTGTAGGCAATTTTCCCCAGTGGGCAGACCCTGGAGTTTGTCGATCCTTCCTCCACTCTGTTCACTGCCTCCTTAATCCTTTCAAGTTTAACTCCATATTCATCAATTCTCCTCCTTTTCAGAGCTCTCTTAGCTTCTCTTCCACTCTACCCAGCTTTAAACTATTCATCCTTTAATACCTCCGATACCTGGCATGAGATTCATGGACAATCTTTGCAAGGATAGTCTTGCCAACAATTCACTGCTGCAATGACAACTGTCATAAGCAATGCACATTCACATCTCTGAGACTATGTTCATACATTTTCCTTTCTCTGGGACTTTCACCTTCCTGGCAAATTCCTATTCATCCTTCAATACTTCCAATGCCATTTTCATCAAAGCTGAATTAGCTCCTCTTTCAGATCATTTTGTATCAAATAGCTATCTGCTCACCAAAGTAGACCATTTTTACCTTATCATGTTCAGCACAGTTGAGTCCAAGCTGCTTTTGCAGCTTATCCAAATTCTAGAAGCAATCCTGACAAGCAAAAAGTACTTTTAAAAAGTCATAATCTCTCATGAATCAAGCTTTCAGACCTGGGATCCTGGAACTCAGGAACACAAATCTCCTTAAAACTTAAGTCATCACTATCAACCAGTACACAGTACCTTCAGAGAAAACCACAGGATGTTCACATTATACCCAAGAAGTAGTGTTACCATCCTTGCTCCAGGAATGGTAGAGGTCACAAAGCGGTTTATTTGTCTCTCTCCCAAATTGCAACCAATTTCCCTACCCGGTGTCCCAGCACCTCCATGAGTTGCTGCCTTACCCTGACCATCCAGTTGCTGACCCCATGGTTATACTGATCTTCAGATAATAATGTTCCTTTATGGAGTTCTGAATCATCTTAGCCTGGGAATCCTTATTCCTCCTTTATAAGAAAAATCTGTCATCAAGACTGGTGACCTGTTAGGAATCTGGGCTAAGACTGACACACCCTGTCCAGTCAGGCTTTCGAGAATTTCCACTGTAGCAGTTTCAGATCTCCCAGCTCATGAGCATCCTTCCCTGAGGTGACAACTTTCGCACTGCTACCTGAGTACAGACAGCATGTCCTTGTCATCTCTACATCCCCTGTACCCTGATGTAGAGCTTGACTCACAATAAGGAAGAATAAAGAGAGTACAGGAGGAAGGAAATGGAAACAGGTAACGGTTGCTCCCTCTCGTTCCGGCGACTCACTTCTCCTTCTGCAGATTCTCAATCTGCTCGGTCAGGACCCTCTCCTCCTGCTGCATAGCTGCCTGCTGCTGCTCCGTGATGTCAGTATCCAGGGCTGCCTCACTAGTCAAGGTCTCTTCTGTGACATCAGACATGGAGGGCAACCGAACCACAGCAGGAGAGGATGGACATGGATAGTTTCCTCGACGAAGACGCCCCTTGCCCTGCAAAGAAAAATACATGTTAAAGGTAAACTGAGTGGCTCCATCAGTTTTACTTGGCCCAGGTAGGATAACAAGTGTAATATTTCCATCACACCTGGTGAATGGTGGGAATAAGTGGAAACATTCTATGAGACCTAAAATATTTAATGAGATACCATATCCATCAAACACATTTAGGCTAAGTATTTCTTGCCAGAGCACTGGAAAATGGGTATGCAGGTGGGTGGGAGTGTAAGAACACACCGTGTACTGGGATGAGATTCTCTTTTTTAACTAAGGTATAGTTGTTTTACAATGCTGTATTAGTTTCTTCTGCTGTACAATGAAGTGAATCAGCCATATATATACCTGTATTCCCCTTCCTCTTGAACCTCCCTCCCTCCTCCCCTCTTCTGCCCCTCTGAGTTATCACAGAGCTCCAAACTAAGCTCCCTGTGCTATAAAGCAACTTCCCACTAGCTATTTTACACATGGTAGTGTATATGTGTCAATCCTAATCTTTACAATGATATGAGATTCTCCTTTTCATCTAAGCTACCTCCTGCAAAACTAAATATCCTGCAAACTAAATATCCACACATGGCTCATTTAAATTTTAGTTAATTAAAGTTAAATGGGATGTGGGGGAGGGATAAATTGGGAGACTGGAATTGACATATATGTATATGACATGTGTGCATACTACTATATATAAAACAGAGAACTAATAAGGACCTACTGTATAGCACAGGGAACTCTACTCAATACTCCGAGATGGCCTATATGGAAAAAAAAAATCTTTAAAAAGAGTGGATATATGTATAACTGGTTCACTTCACTATACACCTGAAACTAACACAACATTATAAATCAAGCATACTCCAATAAAGCTTTTTATAATTAAATAGAAGTAAAAATTTAGCTCTGCAATCACCCTAGCTAGATTTCAAAAGTTTAACAGCCACAGGTGGTTAGTGACTACCACAAGGAAAAGTGCAGATATAGAGCATCTCTATCATCAAAGTTCTGAGGGACAAGACTGCTCTGTAATGTTAACCTTGGAATATATACTGTCTCTAGGAAGACTATACAAAACAGGTCCTAAAACTCAGTTTTATTTTTAAAAAAATATCATTTATATATTATAGGGTGTTAGTGAGAGATATTCTCTAAGAACAACTCAAGAAACTTCCTTCTTGAGATCAGAGGGGGAATAATCTCATTGTTTTAATTGGTTACTTTGTATGTAACTTTAGCCTCTAATAATGACAATTAAACCTCCTGCTGAGAACAACTGGACGAAACATAAAAACCTAACAGATTCTTGAAGGCACTACAGAGTTAACAAGGCAGACCAAAGAGAGGTTGGCCCAGTATTCAGGGCTAATTTATGTTTAAGAAGAGGCAGATGAGAGTCTGAACAGAGCTTCTGACAGACTACAGCAGGAGTCAGCAAAATATGGCCCTTGGGCCAAATGTGTCCTAATGTCAGACTTTGTAAATAAAGCTTTATTGAAATACTTTTCTGCTCATTAATTCATGCATTGTCTATGGCTCTTCTGCAGAATAACGGTAGCACTGATGGTTGCAACAGCTTCCATGTTCCGCAAAGCCTCAAGTATTTAGACTATGGTCCTTTATAGAAAATTTGCCAAGCCCTGGGATAAGGATAATAGTCCAGACCCAGGCAAGGGTGTGAACTGTAGTTGGGTGTTGAGTGTGGACTCCATCCATGCCTGATGCTGGGACCCCTAAGGTTTGTAAATTGAAATTATTATAGTCATTGCAGATACTGCAGGCTAGCTTCAAGTTGTCTGAATGGTTCAAAAAACTGTAATCCCTAAAATTGGTTTCAAGTAATCTCAGCTTGCTAGTGTCCTAGAACCTGGCAGAAAACAATGAAAACACTCTCTGGAGGAAAGTAACACCATCTCAGGTTTCAAAATATTTTTACAAATAATTTTTAAAAATACTTTGCTCACATACAATAAAAGGTAACCAAGCACAAAAGGAGACAAGACAATGTAAATGGAAACCAGTAAAAACAACAGAAACCCTCAATGACACCAGATATTGTGACCATCAGAACAGACTTAAAGTAACCGTGCTGAAAGACACAGAAAGACATAGTTTAACTAGTGGACTGGAATAGGTCAGAAGAAAATATAAAGAATCAAGCAGAGAAAACAAAAATTTTTTTCTAGAAAAATTCAGTAAAGAAAATAAGAGGACACAATAAAAAGATCTATCATATGCAAAAAGATTACTAGGAGAAAAGAGAGATCCTACAGGAGAAATAACAAAGAAATAATAGCAGAACATCTTTCAAAACGAATTAAAGATATCAACCTACTGACTGAAGAAAATCTTCAACCTCTAGAAAAGACAAACATTGGGTTGGCCAAAAAGTTCATTCAGGTCTTTCCATCTGATGTTATATGAAAAGTCTGAGCGAACTTTTTGGCCAATCCAATAAAAAGAAGTCCATACCCAAACCTAGAGACAGCTGCTAAAAATTAAAGGCAAGAGAAAATCTAAAAAGAAGTCAGAAAAAAAAAATGTATCTGCAACAAAGAAGCAACTATTTGATTCAAGGCTTCCTTTTCAACAGAAACAAAGTCAGAAAACAACAAATGGTATTTTCAAAAGATGAAAGGAAAAAGTAACTGCCTGTCTATTATTCTATATATTGCAAAAGCAGTCTTCAAGAATGAAGTTCAAATAAAGACATCTTCAGACATACTAAGATAGGAAATCTGTCACCAGCAGATTTGCACTAAGGGAAGGACAGACAGAAAATGACTCAAAGAGAAAAGACAAGGAGAAAGAAATGAAGAGCAGTGAAAACAGTAAATACGTAAGCCTAAATGAATTTTCATAAAACATAAGAATAATGTATTGCATTTAAAATACAAGATAATTTAAAACATCTGCATAACGACAACAGCAACTATATCATACAATAGCTAGAGCATATTAAAGACCTTGCACTATCTAGGAAAAAAATAAAAGCACCAACTGACTTTGATAAATCACAGATGTCTGTTGTAGTCTTTAGGTTGAAAACTAAAAGAAGGGTAAAAAAAGTATAAAACTTTAAAACTAAGGAAAAAATGGAATATAATATGTAGTCAAAAGAAAAAGGAAAAAAGAACAAAACAGGCAAGAAACAAAACATATATCAGGTAGGAAAAATTAAAAGCACAAAATAAAATAGCAGATTTAAATCCAAATATATCAGTGATTATGTTAAGTAGATTAAATGCTTTAGTTAAAACCTGAAGATTATCAGACTGCATTTTAAAAAAAAGAAATTTCAACTATATTAAGTTTACAAGGCATGCATATAAAATATTCAGAATTCAGGAAGGCTGAAAGCAAAAAGGCAGGAGTAAAAGACATACCATGTCAGCACAGAGAAAACAAGTGTATACACACAAATCAGTAAAGTAATAGACCTAAACAACTTAATAAACACAAGTTATCTAATAGACATATAGAATTCATGACCTAACAATTACAGGGTATTTTAAAGCACACACAGCAAAGACAATAATAAATTTCCCAGTATTGAAACAGTTTATCTGACCTTTAAAGTAATTTAAAGTAAGTTTTCTGACAGTGCAATTACAAAGAGAAAACTAAAAATCCCTATGTATGCAGAATTTAAGAAACAGACTTCTATGGATCAAGAGAATGTGATACATTTATGAAATAGCGCAATTTGCAGCAACATGGGTGGACCTAGAGACTATCATACTAAATGAAGTAAGTCAGAAAGAGAAAGACAAATGTCATATGACATCACCTATGTATGGAATCTAAAATATGACCCAAAGGAACTCATCTAGGAAACAGATTCCCAGACACACCACACAGGGGGAAGAGTGAGGGAGAGCCGGATGAGAGTGTGGGATTCACAGACATAAGCTATCACATACAGAATGGGTAAACACCACAGCCCCACTGTATAGCTCGCGGAACTATACTCAATACTCTGTGATAAAGCCATAATGGAAAAGAGGGAGAGAATGATATATGTGTATAAGTGAGTCATTCTGCTGTATGGCAGAAATGAACACAACACTGTAAATCAACTATACTTGAATAAAATTTAAAAAAAGAAAAAGAAATAGACTTCTAAAACACCCATAGCCAAATAAATCACAACAGGAATTTTAAAATTCTTTGAACTAAAACAACAATGTCAAAATCTGTGGGATACAGTTTAACTCTGTTGATCTTAAAGTTATAAGGTTTATATGCATACATTAGAAAAAAAGGTTAAAAATTAAAAAGGTAAGTACTTTAGAAAAAAGGTTATCTATTTTAGAAAACTATGGAAAAAACAACAAAATAAACCCAAAGAGAAAAAAAGGAAATAAAGAGTAAATAGACACTAGAAAAAAGAGGACCAAAGTCAAATGCAGCTCTTTGAAACAACTAATAAAGAATTTCAAATTGATTAAGAAAAATTGGCAAAATTGATAAGAAAGAAAGAAATCACAAATAACCAAAAGCGGGAATGAAAAGGGGGGCATCATCCAAATCTAGGAGACACGAAAAAGATAAGAGGCCACTATGAACAACAATATGTTAATAAATCTGAAATTTTATACAAAGTGGAGAAATTTCTACAAAAGTCCAAGTAACTAATACTGTCAAGGAAATTTAAAAATGTGACTAATTTTATAAACTTAATCTATAAATAAAATCTTTATAGAGAGAAAGCTGTAAGCTTAGATGATTTCACCAGTAAACAAGAAGAAATAACACACAAATTTCTTCCAAAGAATTAAAAATAAGGACTACTCTCCTGCTTGCTACAACTAGAGAAAAAAAAAGCCCACACAGCAATAAAGACCAAGCACATCCATAAATAAATAAAAATTATAAAAAAGGACTGCTCTCCAACTCATTTTAAGAGGTCAGCATAAACTAGATATTAAAACATAGGACATTAAAAGGATAGTCTATTATAGGACAATTTTACTCAAACACAGGTGCAAAAATTCTAAACATACTATAAACCAATCTCAATAAAAACCCCAAGACAATTTTCGTGAAGCTGATTCTATAATTT